ACGAAATTCTACCTGTCTATAACTTTCCAAACCAAACCCCCCTAAAGCCCCCCCCTTTCTGTATTTCTAAGATTTTTTAGGGACCCGCCTCGATAATTCCTCTCCCCCGCTTGGGGGGGCGGGGAGACCCTAACCCCAGCCCTGGTCGGGTCCCGCAGTTTCCTTACCCACTGTCCGGGGGGGGGACCCCCCCCCGGGGAAGGGGGCCCGAGCGGGCCGCGCGGGCTCCCGCCCCGATTTGGGGAAATCACCCTCCCGCAGCGCTCACTGGGCGCCGATCGGGAAGTGGGTGTGGTGAAGGGACGTGACAGAAGCAACAGCCAATGGGGATGGAGCACGGTCTTACTTCCAGCCAATGAAAAGTGAGGATCATTGTCTTCCACGCGTCAGGGCGGGCTTGGCAGAGGCCCGCTGTGATTTTTGAAGTCTGGGAGGCCGGAACCTGGGTCGCTGCCGTTGCTGCTTCTTTAATAGGTTCGGCCAGACCTGCGGCCTCCGTTGCTGCCCGGGTTTCTGAAGGTTCTGGGTGCGGCTTCCTGCTCTCTAGTCCTGCCGAGCGTCCCTCCGAGGCGTCCAGAGGGGAAGGAGCTGGAGAGCGCGATCCAAGTAAATTTTCGGAGCAAGTTCTGGATGCGTCCGGAAGGGCCTTGCCCGTCGCTCCTGCCACTGGCATCTTTTCCTCACCGCGTTCCGTGCCCCAGGAGAGTGAGAAAAATGGCAGGAATCATCTCCGTAGCGCTGGGGTCCTCCAGCCCGGGAAAGGAGAGGCGGAAGAAAAGTGAAACATGGCCCCAACCGGTTTGGCTCAGTGGATAGAGCGTCGGCCTGCGGACTCAAGGGTCCCAGGTTCGATTCCGGTCAAGGGCATGTACCTTGGTTGCGGGCACATCCCCAGTAGCGGGTGTGCAGGAGGCAGCTGATCGATGTTTCTCTCTCATGGATGTTTCTAACTCTCTACCCTTCTCCCTTCCTCTCTGCAAAAAATCAATCTACATATATAAAAACCGGTAGCTATGATGTGCACTGACCACCAGGGGGCAGAAGCTCAACACAGGAGCAGAAACCACAAGCATGGAAACAAGGAACAGACTGATGAATCTCAGAGGGAAGGGAGGAAGGGGGAGGGCAGGAAGAGATTAACCAAAGATCCTATTTGCATATTAGAGGCCTAGTGCATGGATTTGTGCACCAGTGGGGTCCCTCAGCCTGGCCTGCGGGGGATCGGGTGGAAACTGGCTCTCCAACATCCCCCGAGGGGGTCCCGGATTGCGAGAGGGTGCAGGCCAGGCTAAAGGACTCCACCAGTGCATGAATCCGTGCACAGGGCCTCTAGTAAAATATAGTAAAAAAAGAAAAGTGAAACATGGAGGTACTCAAAAAAGACCCCATTCTCCATCTCCCTCCGATTGTAAATCACAACAATCTTAAAGTGGTCTCAGCTTGTCTGGTCGGAGATCTACATCAACAACGCACACTTACATTCTGGTGAGGTCTTACTGCTTTCTCATGCCTTTCTTAAGACAGGAAAATAGTGGATTCAAAGTTTATCTTTTAAAACAGTTTTAAAGTATTTTTTGCCAAAATAGAATTTTCAACAATTCCACGTGGGTTTTTTTTTCATGCCCACATCTAAACGTGTACTATCATTATCCTTCCTGTCTTGTTTTGGAGGAAGAGGATATGTTTAATCCTTTGCCACCTATGTTTTTGGACTTTTTTTCCCCCATAGATTTAAACCTCAAGTCTTCCCCTTTCCAATAGTTTCTACTCCTCAGCCTAAAAACATGCTCAAGTATCCACAATCCTAAAGCCAAGCAAAATATATCTCCATTATACCTCTCAATTTGTTTTTATAAATATATTTCTTTATTGATTTCAGAGAGAGAGGGAGAGAGAGATTGAAACATCAATGATGAGAGAGAATCATGGATCGGCTGCCTCCTGCATGCCCCACAGTGCGATGGAGCCTGCAACCCTGGCATGTGCCCTGACCGGGAATCGAACCGTGACCTCTTGGTTCATAGGGCGACACTCAACCCGTTGAGCCACGCCAGCTGGGCAATTATGCCTCTCCTTTAGATTTTTGCCTCCTACATTATTCTTTTTCAAACATTAGGAAAGAACATTCTCATTTCTCACCCACCAGTTTGTCTTCAGCAACTCTATCTATGCCTGATACACCTTGAAATTGCTTTTGATAAGGATGTTAGGAGCTTTGCAACACGACTGCATGGTCCTGTTGTGTCCTCCCACCCCCAATCTCTCTAGTTATTATTCTTCTTGACCTCCTGGTAACTTTTGTTGATTACATTCTGTTGCAAAAAGCTAAGTGGCTGACTCAACTCTCAACCAGTTCTTGTAGTCCTCCAGTTAGGGATGGCCAACTGGAAGAGTTGGACCAATGAGACATTAGTAGGGCTGCTGGCAACATTTTTTTTGCTTTTCTGATAAGAGACTGGCACCCTTACTACCCTTCACCCTTTCTCTTTTCCTTTTCCTTCTACCTGGAAAGGGTAACAACCACCTTCTGACCATAAAGATGAGAGCTAGATGCTAAAGATGGTGGTAGGAGAGAAGGGAAGAGCCTAAGTCCCTCATGGATTTGTTGATCTTTTGTACCAGCCCTGGTCATCTTGCTGTTTGTGACAAATAATTCAATACCTGTTTAAACTACTGGTGGTTGGGTTTCCTATAAGTACAACCTGAAAACTCTTATTTCTTGGCTTCTATAAAAACCTCTCCTAGCATGGAACAGAGTGCAGAATCTCAAAGGGAAGGTGGGGGAGGGTTAGTGGGTGGGAGGTGATCAACCAAAGACATTGTATGCATATATGCATAACCCATGGACACAGACAATAGGGTGCTGAAGGCCTGGTGGGGGGAGGGGTGCAGGATGGGCTGAAGGGGGTCAATGGGGGAAAAAGGGGACATATGTATACTTTCAACAATAAAGAATTATTAAAAAAATAAAAACCTTCTCTCCTAGTTTCTTGTTCTTTTTAAACTTCTTCACTGACTTCTCTTTCTGTGACCCATTTCTCATACTACATATATTGAAGTTCCTAAGAGATCTGTATTTCCTCTCTTTATCCTCTTCCCTTTTGCCCCATTCACTTTGAGCTGTTTATGGTGACTTCATCTGCTTTAGTGACTTTGGTTACCCTTTTACCCAAACCATAGGATCTTCTGCCAACCTCAGCTCTGCCTTCAGACCCACATTTCCAACTATCTCTCCTCTTAGGTGTCGGATACACATTTTAGACTCCACACATCTGTATTGGTTAGATTTCTTTGAAACAAACTCCATTTAGGGGGATGTAAAAAGCTGAGTGAACTTATAAGGACACAGTGGTAGTTTTGCAGAATCCACAGGAAGGAATGCAGCTGGTATTGGAAAGGGATTAGAACCAGAAAAGGGAAAGCTGTAAGGAACCCAATGAGCATATCTCTCTGTCTCTCTCATATTTACTTCCTTGGAACATGTGCTCAATTCTTATTTCTCTGCGAACCAGTGTTCTCTGTTGTTTAGTCTATATGAAAGACTGAAGTTGCTGTGGTTTTCCTGTTAGATATCTAGATACATCTGGAGACTGATTTCCATTTCTCTGTAGAGACAATCTAGTTGATCCAGTTTGGAACAGGTGTTCATACCAAAGAGAGATGGCCAGTGGGATAGGAACATGTAGCAGGCCAATCCCTTTGGATGGGGTAGATGGGTTATTAGCAGTCCTGGAGAAAAGGTAGGTCAATGCCTTCCCTTTGTGTCAAAAATATCTACACTAATAAAAGAGAAATATGTAAATTGGTCATCACTCCACTACGCCCACTGGCCAATCAGGATGTGTATGCAAATTAACCCAACAAATATGGTGGGTTAATTTGCATATGCAGGTGCGGAGCGAAGACTGAAGGCTCCTGCCCAAGCGAAGACTGAAGAAGACTGAAGAGGCTTGGCTTCTCCGCTGCGGCTGGACCAAAGGCCTGGGTCCCAGGTGCCGGAGGAAAACCGGTGCTGGCAGCCAGGGGAAGGAAGGCCTATTGTGCGAATCTTCGTGCAACGGGCCTCTAATAGTCTCTATAATGTCCCAAAAGTGGACTGAGTAGCTTTCTTGCCATGTTTTCTTTTCCTATATATTTACAGGTTGGTTAATGGCTTTAGTATCTATTATTGCTCCCTAGACAAGTGATTGCTTGTGGTGTTGAATTTGGAGGCTGGGGGCGTTTGTGGTGTGTATCCATCTTGGACTCCACCCTCTCTTTGTGCATAATCAGCCAATCATTAAATCCTATTGCTTTTACCTCATCAATATCTTTCATATTTAAAATGCTCCTGAATGCCCACTGTCACTGTCTTTGCTCAGTTTCATGACTTTAGTCCATACTATTACTTTGGTACAGTACCAGACACAGCCTTGGTCTGTGTGGTTCAGTTGGTTGGCGCATCATCCTATACACCAAAATGTGGTGGGTTCGATTCCTGTTCAGGGTGCATACCCAGGTGCAGGTCCGATTCCTGGTAAGGGCACATATGGGAGACAGTCGATTGATGTTTCTCTCTTGCATAGATGTCTCTCTCTCTCTCTCTCTCTCTCTCTCTCTCTCTCTCTCTCTTCACCCCTTCCTCTCTCTCAAATCAATTTTTTAAAAAGTACCAGTGGCCTAAAATACAGTTAGCCATTTTGTATATATGGGTTTCATAACCACAGATTCAACCCACCTTGGATCGAAATTATTCAGATTTTAAAAAGTTACCTTGTGACTGATATGTACCATGTAGTTAGGCCTAGGATGGTTGCATCTGTACCGAACATGCACAGACTT